AATAGGCTTGGACTTGGTGCTGATAGCCCACTGCACAAGACAATGGTGACACCAGAATAAAAATATTCATGATTCTGAAGCTGAAAATACAGAATTATTTTAAACGAATGCTTGCACTCTGTCACAGACTAGATATATTTAAAATAATGTAGGCCACTTTTTATTGGTAACGCAAGACATTTGGACCCACAAATATCCCCCCATTGCATTATTATACATTATATTCAACATTATATATAGCAGTTTATTAGTAGTACTGACACTAAAACACTGAAAACATGAATTTTTTTGGGTGACCTATGCACAATACATATTGTTACTATTAATGAAACATATTGTTGCATTTTTGTATTGCGATATATTGTGACACGATATATTGTTACACCCCTAATGGTTTATAACAATTGCTGCTATGCAGTTACTAGTGCATTGCTATGTGAATTCTATGCAATTGCTATGACATTTATAGATGTTTTCTAACAATTGCTATGCAGTTACTAGGGTGTTGCTGTGTGGTTGTTAGGGGGTGCTAAGCAGTTATTAGAGCATTGTTATGTGGCTGTAATGCAGATTCTCTGGCATGTACAGTAATTATGGTTTCTAAGGTTGTTATGGAGTTACTAGGGCGTTGATATGTAGTTGCTGGGGTTGCTGCAGTTACAAGAGTCAGTTCTCTTGTGTTTTAGCACTATAAATGTTACTCCTCATCTTTCATATGTAAATGTGAAGCAAGGACATACTTTTATTTCATTCTAAAGACAGAGCAGTAGAGGAGCGTGAGCCGGCGTTGTGTCCTGATCGCAGTTGTCCCGCTGTTACTTTATCTAATTCAGCACATATTACTCAACGCCCCCAAGGAGCTCCTTTTCCCTTCACTAAACCTGTTTCTCTCACATGCCACATACACACATAAACACAACACAGACGTCAGCATGATCTCCAGTGAAACTCGCTTATGAGTCACTTTTTAGGCTCCAACTAGGTTTTTAGAATATGTGCATGCATTATTGTAGGATTTACTATAAATGTAGAGACACATATATTAAGCAAGTCTTGGCATGTTGAATCAAGTTAAGTTGACACACTCACTGCTGTGGCCTGACAGGAAGAGTCATGGAGAAAAGGAGGAAAACTCTTGTACAGAAACACACGGTTGAGCATGATAGAGCATGTTTAGTGCATGTTACATAAGCTAATTACAGTTTTTAGTAATTGCTGTTTAATGTTTATATAAACTAGCCCTTACAAGGACAGATACAAAGTAATCAGATTTCAGATTTTGAGTTAAGTCTCTTATGCTCACCAAGGCTTCATTTATTTGATAAAAAATACAGTAAAAACACTAATATTTTGAAATATTATTATTATTTAAGTGAACTGTTTTATATTTTAATGTTTTACAATTTAATTTATTTCAGAGATGGCAAAGCAGAATTTTTGTATGTATGTCAATGTAATTAAAGTTATTTAAAAAAGCTTACTGTCCTGACAAACTTTAGTTTATTATATGTATTCAATTATGATTTTTTTGCTTTAATGCCACTGAGAGCTACTGAAGATTTGTAACACTCGATGCAGCCAATTTCAGCACCATGAATAATGGTTCAGCACCATGGACAGCTAACACACTTCCCATAGTTCTACTGGAATCTAATTCTAGATGCAGAGTGACCGGTGAACTCTAAAGCATCTCGCATTTACTGTCTTGTCGTGGAAAACAGCCCAGAGAGATGCCCAAAATAGCCTGGCATAATGCCCAGTTGTCCATCAAATAAGCCTGGACTGATGTTAGACAGAGGTGCATTGTGGAGAATCAAGAGGAGGGAAGTGAGAGTGCTAATTTTACCATCCAGATCCATGATAAACAAAGATTCCCCCCAGAATAAACTCTGACCTGTGTGCCAAGAGATGCTGTAATTCCAGCGATCACACTTACAGTGTAATAGCTGATGTCTTTACAGCTATGTGAGAACTCAAGATGCACATTGAATCAGGATGTTAGGATGCATGATGATTCCTTTGGATTTGGGCTACATTCATATAGCAGCACAGTTGCCAGTCCTGTTTGGGATGATGAATGTGATTTTTCTGTTAGTTCAATACTTTTTAATGTTTTAAAAAAAGTTGAAATTACCATTTATGCATTTAGTAGACACTTTTATCCAAACGACTTACATTTAAGATTTGTATTTTATGAGTTCATGCATTTCTTGGTGTTACGTCCCCTGATGGCATAGAGGTATGAGGAAGACGTGCATAATACAAGTGAAACACACTCCTATAGTTTTAGTCTCTGGGGAGTACTGTGGGTGAATGACGCCAAGACAACAAATTACTGCAAGCAGGTGGTTCGCTTTATTTACAACACGAACGTTATAATTTACATAAATGAAAACCAACAAATAAACTTAATTACAGCTATATACACACAACTTAAAAGAATTGAAAAATGATAATTGAAATAAGCCACAGAGAGAAAGAAGATGAGCGGTGCTAAACAAACAAAATAACAAAACCAAAGCAAAAAACAGAAAATAAAGAATTCTTCAGCGCTTAACACGCCATAACTAAAACTTCACTAACTAACCAAACAAAAAACTACACAGTTGCACACGCTCCTTCCCTAGTGTGTCTAACAATGGTAAGTCTACGTGCATGTAAGATGTGTCACGTGACGCACTTTCCTTTTCTCTTCTCTCCGGGATGGCGCTGGTTTTAGATCAGGCAAGAAGTCCTCTGAGTAAGCAAATACAATCACGCAAGCGAACCACCACAAAGTCTGTACTTTTCAACAACAGTAGCACAAGGCAACAAACACTCCAAACTCCTCCTCTTCCGTTCTTCAGAGTGCCTTATATCCTGAACCACAGCCGATGATTGGTGGTCTCCGACCAATAGCAGCACCAACAAACTTGAAGATAGCAGAGAGCGGGAAAACAGAAAGAAACCAACAGCAGAGGGGAGAAATGCAGCAACCAATAAGAAAAGGGGAGGGAACAAAAATGCTGTGGGTTCGGAGCTCCAGGGTCTTCAAGGCAGTTAGCCATGCCAGAGAGGTTGCACTCTGGCTGGGGAAGTGAGTTCAATCTCCACAGTGGTGGAGCTCTGAAATACATCAAACCTCCAGGAAAAGACGGCCTGATTTTTCTGAAAAGTGCATCCCAGGCAGGGTGCGGTTCTCCTGGCCACAAATAAAGCCCAATGCCATGGAGAGTTTGCCTTTGGGCTTGACTCTGGAGTCAGATTTGAAAAAATTGACTAAGTCCATAGCACGTAACACTCGGGAATCGAACCCATGACCTTGGTGTTGCTAATTTTGGTTATTTTGCTTGGTAATTTTGCTTGGTGTTGAAAATTTTGAGAGCAAGTTCAGTAGATATATGCTTTTTGAATGAACATGCAGTCGAAAACATGAAGTGCATGTTTCACAGGTTATTTGCTGTTAAACAATATTGTTGTAGCTGTCAATCTCTCTGAGGTTATGAGAAATGGCAGAAATGCGATCATAGAGCAAGACAAAACCCCTGTTAAGTGTTTGAGGAGGAATAGGGGGGCTAACTTGAACAAAAATGTCAAGGAAACAAAAAAATAATAATGAAACACTTACTTTCGTAGTACACATTCCTGGTCTTATTATGCACAATTCATGAATCTTTTTGTGACCTTAGATTTGTAGCCTTTTTGAGTGAACGCACTTTGACCTTGAGAACAGTCTATTATAATTTTTCTCTTTTTCTTTGTTTTTGCAATCCTTCATCAACATTCAATTGTTCCACCTTTGAAATGACCTTAGCCAAATAGCTTTTTAAGCAGCATTTTAGTAACCTTGAATTCAGGTCTGACTCCTTCCTTGTATGTGATGGCCATTTAGTTTTTTTGTTTATTTATTTATATTTTTATTCGTAAAACATCCTGCACCACTTGGCTGCCATGTCATTTTGATTAATAGGCTAATAGGTTTCCTCTGGTACATCTACAGTAATGACACAGTTTTGTTTCCAAAACTTTTTTTGGATTAAAATAAGTAACTAAATTAATAAAAATATAAATAATTCAATTTCAGGATTCCTGATTTTTCAAATGTTTTTCAAGGATCACACTCTTATTAACCAAATTAATTTACATTTACTTTTCGAGTCGTTCATGATTTACGGTATAAGAAAAATATTTTTTCTCACAATTTCTAATAAAATATTTTAGATCATGGCAAAAATAAATAAATAGAAATATTTAGATTTCCAGTTGTTTTAGCTTATTTTGAAGCTTGTTGTGTCTTATTTTAAATAATATTAAGCCATCTTGAGGCCCCTGGTAAGAACCACTTAGTTAGAGAATTTGATGATTGGTTACCAGTGCAAACAGACAGTAATCTATTGTACTAGACTAGTCTACTATTGCATGTATTTCTACACATGTTAGAAAATGCTGTTGTCCTAGATCTCAAAAATTGACTGTTTGAGTGCAGCTTTAGTTAATGGTTTGTCTGGAATTGTTTGCAGAACTCAGGATTTGCATAATTAATGAAGACATTAATGAGCTTAAAGGGCAGGAAACACTAAATACGAATGTGTTGAGTATAAATGATTTTAATCAGAGACCAGAGTCCAGTCTCTTTCTCTCTCTCTCTCTCTCTCTCTCTCTCTCTCTCTCTCTCTCTCTCTCTCTCTCTCTTCCTCTCTCTCTCTCTCTCTCTCTCTCTCTCTCTCTCTCTCTCTCTCTCACTCTCTCTCTCTCACTCTCTCTCTCTCTCTCTCTCTCTCTCTCTCTCTCTCTCTCTCTCTCTCTCTCTCTCTCTCTCTCTCTCTCTCTCTCTCTCTCTGTGTGTGTGTTCGCACCACCTAATAAAAAGTCTTATGAAGCAAAAACACTTAACCAGAGTGCGCGAGTACTCAGATTCAGTACATCAGTTAACCGGACTAAATTATTCAAACTTTAACGCGTGGAAGACGGAGAAATTGTGTCATTATCTGTAATAAACTTCTGTTTCTCTGTCTTTCCAGGCTAAGAAGCAGGATCTGCCGCGTGAGGAACAGGGTCCGTCATCAAGAACCTGGACTTCTGGCCCAAACTGATCACGCTGATGGTGTCTGTTATAGATGAGGACAGAATGGCCTACACACCCATCATTAACCAGTGCGTATCACAACACACACATTGTGAAGCCATCCGATTGTATCATATTTTGCTGTTTTTTCTTGTATCTTTGATATCTCAGTTGTTTCTCCTAGAGAGCAATGAAATTAATAAAGATAATTTCAATAAAGAGCTCAGAAATATCTCAATCTGTGCTTGGAATTTTCAAGACACCTTTGCAAACAAAAGTATCAACCATTTTTCATTAATTTCTTCAAATGTCAAATGATCTGACGGAATGAATTCATGCCGATTGATGAATCCGACCGTAGTGTTTACATGAATGTATAATTAAAGCGATCGGGTTGATGTGTGCGTTTTTATGTCACAAGCTTCTAATCAGAATTGATTTTGTAGACATGCTTATGCTTATACTGCAGGAATAGCGTTTCCTGCTGTTTGCGTATACTATTCTCCTACATTGCTTCTTTACTTTTTTTAAAGAGCAGAATTCATATTTATCTATTTCAGGTCTTGATTAGGATGACGAGCACACAAACCACTGTGCCGTGTTGCTATTTTTGTCAAGCAGTAAAAACGACGGTGGCCCAGTAGTGCACAACACAACGAAATTTAAAAAGCACATAAGTTCACAACACAACGAAATTAAGCCACAACACAACAGAAATAAGCCACAACACAACAAAATAAAGCCACAACGCAACGAAACACAACGAAATAAAGCCGCAACACAATTGAAATGCTCCCGACCACTAGAGGGCTCTCAGAGCGCGATAAAGTTAGTTTTCCTGGCAATTGTTAAAAAGTAATTTAGAATTAATACAAATTAATTTAAAAAAAACGTTTTAACAACTTGGAGGAATTGGCAGACGTTCCCTTAGGGATCATAAATTATATATTAATTTAAAAAATATATACAATGGTTAGCTACATACTGTTAAAACTAATCGTGGTGTTGATATATTTTTTAGACTGCTGCTGACTCTATAGAACAGTGGCATGGAAAACTAACTTTATCGCGCTCCGAGAGCCCTCTAATCGTTGGGAGCATTTCCGTTGTGTTGCGGCTTTATTTCGTTGTGTTGCGGCTTTATTTCGTTGTGTTGCGGCTTTATTTCGTTGTGTTGCGGCTTTATTTCGTTGTGTTGTGGCTTTATTTCATTGTGTTGTGTCTTTATTTCATTGTGTTGTGGCTTTATTTCATTGTGTTGTGGCTTTATTTCATTGTGTTGTGGCTTTATTTCATTGTGTTGTGGCTTTATTTCATTGTGTTGTGGTTGTGTCTTTATTTCATTGTGTTGTGTCTTTATTTCGTTGTGTTGCGGCTTTATTTCATTGTGTTGTGTGGCTTTATTTCATTGTGTTGTGGCTTTATTTCATTGTGTTGTGGTTGTGGCTTTATTTCGTTGTGTTGTGTCTTTATTTCGTTGTGTTGTGGCTTTATTTCGTTCAGGTTGTGTCTTTATTTCGTTGTGTTGTGGCTTTATTTCGTTGTGTTGTGTCTTTATTTCATTGTGTTGTGGCTTTATTTCGTTGTGTTGTGGCTTTATTTCCTTGTGTTTGTTGTTTTGTGGCTTTATTCCGTTGTGTTGTGGCTTATTTCCATTGTGTTGTACATTTTCGTTGTGTTGTGGCTTTATTTTGTTGTGTTGTTGTGGCTTATTTCCGTTGTGTTGCTGCTTTATTCCGTTGTGTTGTACATTTTTCGTTGTGTTGTGGCTTTATTGTGTTGTGGTTGTGGCTTTATTTCGTTGTGTTGTGTCTTTATTTCGTTGTGTTGTGGCTTTATTTCGTTCAGGTTGTGTCTTTAGTTCATTGTGTTGTGGCTTTATTTCGTTGTGTTGTGTCTTTATTTCATTGTGTTGTGGCTTTATTTCGTTGTGTTGTGTCTTTATTTCCTTGTGTTGCGGCTTTATTTCGTTGTGTTGTGTCTTTATTTCATTGTGTTGTGGCTTTATTTCATTGTGTTGTGGCTTTATTTCGTTGTGTTGTGTCTTTATTTCATTGTGTTGTGGCTTTATTTCATTGTGTTGTGGCTTTATTTCATTGTGTTGTGTCTTTATTTCGTTGTGTTGTGTCTTTATTTCGTTGTGTTGTGTCTTTATTTCGTTGTGTTGTGGCTTTATTTCATTGTGTTGTGTCTTTATTTCGTTGTGTTGTGTCTTTATTTCATTGTGTTGTGGCTTTATTTCATTGTGTTGTGGCTTTATTTCGTTGTGTTGTGGCTTTATTTCATTGTGTTGTGGCTTTATTTCATTGTGTTGTGGCTTTATTTCGTTGTGTTGTGTCTTTATTTCATTGTGTTGTGGCTTTATTTCATTGTGTTGTGGCTTTATTTCATTGTGTTGTGTCTTTATTTCGTTGTGTTGTGTCTTTATTTCGTTGTGTTGTGTCTTTATTTCGTTGTGTTGTGGCTTTATTTCATTGTGTTGTGTCTTTATTTCGTTGTGTTGTGTCTTTATTTCGTTGTGTTGTGTCTTTATTTCGTTGTGTTGTGTCTTTATTTCGTTGTGTTGTGTCTTTATTTCGTTGTGTTGTGGCTTTATTTCGTTGTGTTGTGGCTTTATTTCGTTGTGTTGTGGCTTTATTTCACTGTGTTTGTTGTGTTGCGGCTTTATTTCGTTGTGTTTCGTTGTGTTGTGGCTTTATTTCATGGTGTTCTGGCTCATTTTCGTTGTGTTGTGCACTACTGGGCCACCGTAAAAAAAACGCCTCATTCCCGCACCCAAAACAAAGCGTCTGTGGATGAGAGTATGAAGTGAGGACTGGTGGGAAGTAGTTCTGCTCAACTTCACAGACGATGAGTGGTTTGGGAATTCTAGAATAACACAACAGTCATTAATGACATTATATTTAACAACAACTGCAGCTAGTTCCACGCGCCATTTCTACGTCATTGCACATGTGCAGCCCTTTCCAGTTTTTTTTTTTTAATCCGATCAAGTGTTTACATGCTCTCAATAGGATTAGAAAAGGAATAAACCACCCCTTCCAATCCAATCGAAGTTTCATTCGGATCGAGCCCAATCGTATTGATTAAAGGAATATAAATGAAAATGCTGTCATCATTTACTCACCCTCAAGTTTGTTTAAACCTGTATGAATTTCTTTCTTCTGCTGAACACAAAGGAAGATATTTTGAAGAAAGTTGGTAACCAGACAGTTGATGGACCCCATTGACTTCCATAGGAGGAAAAAAAATACTATGGAAGTCAATGGGGTCCATCAACTGTTTGGTTACTGACGTCACAAGCCAAATTCTCCGGTTTCACCATCTACGTGACAACACTACAACCGGAGTTTCTAATAATCTTCACCCTGGCAGGAGTTTTCAAAAAAGTTCGGTTTTAGTGACCGGATACTGTGTTTGTGTGTGGACGAACGGCCAAACCTCATAGGAAAAGCTGCGGTTTTGGAAATACCCGTGTTCGTGTGGACAGTGCCTTAAAGTCCAAACATAACAGAACCGTGCCATTAGGAGATATACAAAACACAATTAGGAACTTTTAAAATAGCATTATAGGGGCACTTTCATTTTAGGACAAACCTCTGAGACAAGTTGGTACTTCAATTAAACATAACAAATATTCCTTTGGAAAATCGACTGAGATATGAAAGAGAAACGTCTTAGCAATAAAGGTTTTCCTCTGTAAAGGACAGATGATTTCGGGATGTTCTGAACATGTTTATACATTGCAATGAAACGCAATATGTGTGGTGTGTGTGTGTGTGTGTGTGTGGTAGATTCTGTTCAGAAATTCACAGGCAGGCAGTAGACTTGAATAATTCAGCATCCTGGACAAACCCAGAGAAGAATCGTCCATCCCTCAATTTATTTCTCTTTTGCTTCAAGCGTTTCTGTTTATTCAACACTCTCTTATCTTTTATCACACCTTTTGCAGAAGTCTGTGTGTGTAAGGAAGATGTTACTGGACTTATAGTGTCATTAGTTCTGGTCTCGTCTCTCGATTCATGTGGAGTGAAGAAAAATAGCACATACTGTGTTTGGACTAATGATCTCTACACAACTAGAGCAACTGCAGTGTGTATTTATATGTAGGTGTGTGTGTGTCTGTTTGTGTTTGTGTTTGTTTTTGTGTTTGTGTGTGTGTGTGTTTGTTTGTTTGTTCCTGTTCAGAAGACTTAAAGGGTTAGTTCACCCAAAAATTAAAATTATCCCATAATTGACCGTTCGCAAAGACCCGCCCCCCTTAGTTACTGTCCCTATGTCCGACAAGCTACGCTGCTCTCACACACACACACACACACACACACACACACACACACACACACACCATGTTCTCGCGCAGTGAAAAATACATCGCAGACTGACAACACGCTGACAGACAGGACAGACCAGGTTACTTTTCGGTTACTTTTGATATTAAACATATCAAACAAAGTCTCACCTTTCAAATTTGGTCATTTAAAAAAAAAAGAAATTTAAACATTAAATACCGTTTTGTGGCTCTTTAATGTGTCGTGACAGATCGCTGTAGTAGAGCATCAGTTAAAGCTGCTCGTGATCCGATCATCTCTTCCTTCTAGTTCATTTATAGCATCAAATAAACATGAATGAACATAAGAAGGAATGTTGTTTTAACCGCAGAAAGGCATCAGTACATTCCGTTTTTCAAGTTCAAATCCTCCCATGGTAATCTACTAACTCTCCTGACTGCTTTGTCGGACAAAATGGCGGATGGCGAAGTATGATTGGTCAGATCACCTGTCAATCAAGCTCCCTGCGAAGGGTCAATTGGCTCACCCTCAATCCATCCTTGAAATATATGACTTTCTTCTTTCAGCCAAACACAATTGGAGATATATATAAAAAAGTCCTGGCTCTTTCAAGCTTTATAATGGGACTGAGTAGCGCCTGCGATTTCGCTTCGCATTAGAAGGCCTTTATTAACCCCCTGGTGCCATATGGATTACTTTTATGATGGATGGATTTGGATTTTTTGGACTTCAAAATGTATGGAACCATTCAGGGTATTTAAAAAAAATATATAACTCAGATTGTGTTTGGCTAAAATAAGATAGTGATATACAGGATGACTTGATGGTGAGTAAATCATGGGATAATTTTCATTTTTGAGTGAACTAACCCTTTAACACAATGAAAATGAAAACTGATAGGATTCACACTGCCTTAAAAGGCAAAACACAGTAACACTAAAATCTGAGAAAAAATGACTTTGAGTGTTTTGATTTAATTTAATTGATTTAATGTCAGTATTCACACTTTGTTTTCCCTGAATCTGAGAACAGTTGAGCCAAACCTGTCTGTCAAGGGACGAATCACAGTCTAAGAAACAAACTCAGTTTTGACAAAATATGTTGTTCCTGTGATTTGTCTTTATATAGGGCAGAGCAGTGTTTTAGGTATCTTTAATATTTAGGATGAAATTCAGCATCAGAGTCACTTTGCTGCATGCAAGAATCAACACATATTGCAACATTATGTTGCAACAACAAACCAATCACAGTTATATTACAATGACATCATATTTTGATTGATGATATCTTAACATTTCTTAAGATATACGGTTTACAAAATCCAAAATCAGAAGGTACATTGACACTTATTCTAGAAAATAAAGTATGAATAAAGTTGAATAAGTTATTTTCAGAAGTAATACAGAAGGTTAGAGGTTTAGAACAAGCTCTGAGGAAGCAGTGAGCAAGAGTGTTGAAGGAATATCAATACAGCGTTGCTTTGTTTCAACAGGCAGCAAAAACTGATTTATTAGTTTGCTGTAGTCCAAACAGAACACATGAAATTAAATTTTTTAGAAGTCCAATCCAAACCACATAGCTTGAACTAAATCAGGTTTTTGGAAATGGATTGGATTTCAGGTTTTCTTTATTAAAAATGAAACACGTTAGAAATATCAAGCTGCATCTGAATTGACTCTTTCCCAATGTAATTATAATAATGTGCGTATGCATTAATATGTAAATTACAGTAAAGCCTCTAAAGCTGACACTATTGTTCAAAAGTTTGAGGTTGGTTAGATTTTTAAAATATTTGTGAAAGATGTCACCAAGGGCTGCATTTATTTGATCAAAAATACAGTAAAAACAGTAACATTCTAAAATATTTTCTATTGTACTATATTTTAAAATGTAATTTGTTTCTGTGACACAGAAACCAATTACATTTTAAAATATACTACAATAGAAACAAGATATTTCAAAATGTAAAAATATATCAAATGATATCAAAGCTGAATTTTCAGCATCATTACTCCAGTCTTGAATGTCACATGATCCTTCAGAAATCATTCTCTCAAGAAGCATTTCTGATTATTATCAATTTTGAAAACGGCTGTGCTGCTTCATATTTTTGTGGAAACAGTGATAGATTTTTGTCAGGATTCTTTGATTAATAGAAAGTTCAAAAGAACAGGTTTTATTTGAAAAATAAATATTGTGTAACATTATAAAGGCCCTTAACGTCACCTTTGATCAATTGAATGCATCCTTTGTGAATAAAAGTATTTATTTCTTTAAAGAAAATCTTCCTGACCACACTTTTGAATGGTAGTGAACTGAACCTCATGAGTTCAGAACAGAGAGAATTTGTGATGGTCATGAGCAGATGTGAAATTTCTGATGTTCCATCCTCTCTTTCCACACTGACAGCATGCTAACTCCTTAAAGTCAACGTGACCCTGTTTACTTCCTTCATACAAGTTCCCTGTCTTATTATAAGCTATTCATCGCTGTGTGCTGTTATACAGTAAGAAACTACGTTTGTCTTCATAACCTTTCATCAGAATAATAATGACATCCTCTGGCTTATTCCCCACCACAGATAAAATCACGTTAGCACAATAAATCACGTAAAATGGGCTGTAAACGACATTTCATGCTGAATTTAAGTCATACAGCAGATGACTACATTATCTGAACAGATGGATCAAAAAATGACAGCCAGTCCTAAAAATGTGAAAATTAAATTGGAATTTTGTGCATTGTGAATAAAGTCTTAAATTCATCTTTTACAGAACTGAATCTCTCAGAGCAAAGAGCCACCGAGAGAGACGCTTCAATGAAACGTAGTAAATGACTTCAGTTAGGAGCACGTCCCTTTCATCACTATTAGAAAGAGAGAGAGAGAGAAAGAAAGAAAGAAAGAAAGAGGACAGAGAGGCTTTCTCTACTTCATGATCATTCTGTGTTCATCTGCATCCATATGTGTCCATCTCTGATAGCTCCTTCTGTCCATCCTAAGCAATTAAACCACGTCTAAATAGAGTTGAGCCTAGTCTAGATTGATCTGAGATTGCTTTTGAGCAGTGGGGGAGAGTAGAGAACTGATCACTTCACTCAGTGATATGGTATGGTGGTGGTTGCCATGGAAACAGCCTGTGTGAAATTGGTGCCCATAAACAGAATGTGCTCACATGTGAAATGCATGCATCTAAAATAGGACAGGACGCTTTTACAACCACTCCAAGACATAAAACAATACTAGACCTCTCGAGTTTCAGATCCAGACCAAAACATGTTATCCAAGAACTGAAATAAAGAAAAAGTACATTATTTATGTATTTATTTATTTATTTGTGGTCTTGAGATCTCTGAAGACTCGGACCACAAGATCAGGACTCTGATGGACGAATGAATTGCTGAGCAGATTGCTGCATGGTTGTAACAATGTCTGTTTTTATGTCATTTTAGGTTCCCGCAAGAGTTGAATATGGGTAGAATTAGTGCTGAAATCATGTGGAACCTCTTCGCCATGGATATGAAGTACGCAATGGATGGTGAGTAACTCCTGCTCCAGTTTTTACTATCTCTTTATGGGGTTGGTGGCATGGTTTTTGTTCTGATGTGGTTTCAGCTGGGTCTGTTTGGATCTGAGATCCAACTCACTTCGTATATCGATTATTTTTGAGCAAAACTCAATATGGCTTTTTACATCATGGTTGGACTGAGTGTCTGAGAAACATCTTAAGTGATGCTGGTGTTTCTGTTCTTTCTGGAGGCTCTTTCATATTTTTAAAGAGAACAATTGTTTGGTTTGGTTGAAAATGGTTTTAATTTTGTCATGCAGTCTACATGTATGTCTACAAATAATATGTATAAAGGTTTTTTTTTTTTTTTTTTTTTTTTACCAAAACATCGTAATTTAGTTTTTTGTGACCATTGTTCGCCCAGTCTCTCTGGTGTTTTGGCTTCTGATTTTAATATGCCAATAATCTTTTGGTTAGGATTGACTAATCTCTATGATCTAGTGTTGATATCCAAATGTGGGTGGTTGTATGTTAATGAGTTGTTGTTATGTCATAATCAATGAGTTCTATAAATGATCTGGGTGGAATAAAAAGGAAGCTTTCTATTGTAAACATTAGAGTATGTATGCATACTTCATCAAACTTACAGTATATTTGAAAGTCATGATACGACGATGTCTTGATGGAGTTCAGTGTTTTAGAGGACGCAGGTGAGAGTCTGGGGGACATAAATGTGATTGGATCATGGGAAGGTTTGAATTTGTGTTTTATGGATGTTGTTTGTGACTCTGACAGCAGTAGAACAGTGTGGCATCTGTGTTTCATAGATATATTTGGAACAAACTCTCCAGGATTCAGATTCACCTGTGAAATTTGAACCACAGATGGTCTGCTGTCAAAGTCTGTGACACAAAAACAAAAACAACACACACAAAACTGTTCTTAAAAGTGAAAGATTAATGAATAACAAGGTTATCCTGTCCTACACACACACACACGCACGCACGCACACACACAGACACACACTTGACGATTGAGCATTTAAAGGTCATTCGCTCTGATTGAATCTCACACATTTTCTGAGCATCTCAGTGAGGATATTGTTTTTAAAATAAAGCTAAGCGAACAACCTAACCCAAAACCATAGTCAACCTTTTAAATGTTTAGACTTTCGTGAAGCCTGTATATAGAATACATATTCTCAATGCTTTATAATGCACCTTTGGAATCATCTGTTTCTTTTCATAAATTATTTACATTCATTCATTTATTAACCATTTCAGTCATATCTGACTCTTGGTGATTCTATGGGCCATCTCTCTCATTTTCTTGCTGTTTATTATTCCCCAACCCTCCCCTTTACATGACTTGGGGCTCAGACACATACACATGGACGATTTAGCATCTCCAAGGCCTCGTTTACACTGCAGGTCTTGATGCCCAATTCTGATTTGTTGCCTATATCCGATTTTTTTTACCGTCCGTTTACACGATCTTTAAATTGTGACCCATATCTGAGTCATGTGTTTACACTTGACTGAAACATCGCGCATGTTTAAAGGGGTCTTCTTGCTCAGATGGACGAACGCGCAGCGAGATCTCAGGACAGGTGGGAACATACAACACGATCTCATAAAAGTGAGTATCTATAGCACAAATTTTATTTCTCATGCCATTTATACGCCAAAAATAGTTTTTGCTTGCATATGATACGCACTGTAAACGTGCGTATTAAACGCCATAAAGTGCGTATCATGCACGCAAAAACTATTTTTGGCGTAAATGGCACGTGAAAAAAAATCGTGCAATAAACGCACTTTCGTGAGATCGTGGCGGGCTTTAACGAGGAGCAGTGGGTCCGAAATTTTAGGATGAGCAAGCCAACCTTTGATATGTTGTGTCAATGTGTGTCCACATTCCTCTCCTACGACGACACAATGTTTCGTCGGGCCATCCGTCCCTTTGCAGATGCGCGTCGGGGTTTCTCTCGTCATTAAACCGCGGAGACGCAGCCTAATGCCTCGGAAAATCCGATCTGCCTGTTTACATGACAGTCGCATTGGCACATATCTGATTTACATCTGATTTATTTCCACATATGAACGAGGCCTGAAACCGATCTCGAAATATCCGAATGCATGCGTTTTTTCCCTGTTTACACTGTCATAGAACACAACCGATCTGTGTCACATACGAGTAAAAAATCGGAATTGGGTCACATTTCACTGACAGTGTAAACGAGGCCCAATTTAAATGTACTGTACCTATACTGCATGTTTTTGTATTGTGGGGGAAATCGGAAGAAACCCACACATACACACTTACACAGGGAGAACATGCAAACTCCACACAGAGAGGCCTCCTGCTATGCACAATATATATACAGCAAATCACCCGCATAACATGACTGGACCACCTCCATGTTTGAACAATATATATAAGTAAAGAAGGTGATGCCTTCGGCTTCGGTGCAGAAACTGAAGCTTGATGATCAATGGATCATCTTCCTGCAGAACAGCCATCTCCATCTACTTAACGACTCGTTTGGACTACAACATGTTTTTTTCCGGGCTTTGTGAAGTCATAATGTTACTCATTTAAATAATCTCCACCCACTGAATACGCAAAAAAGGTGCTAGGCCTGGTTGAGCTGCGCTAGAGAAGACATTGTTGTTTCTATCTCAAAGAGACGCTGTTTTGTCCACCCCGTTTCCAAAACTCATTTGCTTGACCTTCCTAAGGCTGACAAACTTAAAAGTGGATTACATTTATTTTTAACACTCTTCCTAAACATTATAAACCACACGTTTATCTGTGTGCTGCACATTTGACGGAGAACAGCTTCCAGAACCACAATGCCAGCTACGCACCAAAGCTTCTTCTGAAATTAAGCAGTTCCCACTTTATCGGGACAATCTGTTGTATGTCTTGCAAACTAAGACAACTTGTAAGTATGTTTTATTATTTGTAGTTGTGCTTTCTATTAAAGTCCCTGTAAAGTCAGAATGAACTATGTGTTCTGAGTTTGTCATATCACAGAAAAATGTGTTATTAACTTATTAGACACCCAGCCAAATTTGAATGATAAAAAAATCCGGCAAGTACATAAAATAAGCTATCAAAATCTTGAAAAAATGAGCAGTAGTCTCTGCTCTCAAACGCTGGGGGCGTGTCCGTTGGCTGCGCTGAAACCACGCCCACTCGTGGTAAAGCTGCCGTCGCCACAATCAACTGTCACCCGCTACAGCCGGAATGGATGCTCCTAGCAGCTTATTAGGTTAATTATAACATAAGCGCACAAAGCAACTTACACTCATTGGTGGGCACGCACTGCCGATGATGTCACCAGTTGTCGGCGCGACGGGAGGATGAAGGCCGAGGCGGGAGATAGTCGTTTCGGCCTCATTCACCAGTAACAGCGGATTATCAGTGAATCCGTTGTCTCCCTGACGAAAGTTTATAAAACTATCCCGTGTAAAATGATCACTACAGAGGCGGGTTTTGGTGGTGATCCTCAGCTCTCCATCAAGGTGGCTCTTCACAAAATTAATCCACCCCTTCTTGATGTGATCGTATTTAGGAAATTTAAATAAGGACACCGATCTGTTTTGTACGTGATCGCATCCAGGTAGTACGCATTTCCGTGACAAAGACATAGCTAACTAGCAAACTGTAAGCTGTAGTAACTAATAATACTGACAGTAACTCGCGATTGAGCGGCAAACTGATGCGAATGTGCTCTATTTATATTGTTAGGGGAGCGGCCAGCCTCAGGGGCTCCAGTGCGTCATCAGGTAGGGGCGGGGCCAGGAGCTCAGGGGCTCCAGTGCGTCATCGAGTACCCTTTTAGCCCCGCCCAAAAAATCCGTAAAATATCAATGGTGAAAAACTGTTTAACGGTCTAACTCCACAATTCAGTACTTCACAGTTCACAGTCTTTGTAATGTGTTTTAGCAATACATTTCTAACATTTATAATGTGTTTAGAATTTTTTTTTTAAATTGCCTTTACAGGGACTTTAACATTTATAATTATAAGTTTTCTAACTTTTTTATTGTTTAAAATTTACTTTTACAAATTTTAGCTTTCGTTAAATTTAACCAATTTTGTTGTAATATTTAAAAAAAAAGTTTAATTCTTTTTATGTTCTAAAAGTTTGTTCTATTCGGTTTTTTATATATATATATTTAACCAGTCTCATTCTTGTCGAAATAATCATAATACATTTTTTTAAAGACCTGTTCAGTGAGTAATTGTTCACTGTTTCTGATGAACAAAACTGAAGTCTGAGGACTAATCATTTGATTGTTCAATCATGATTACGATCACCTGAAGATCTGCAGCGTGCTTTCTATATAGTCATTGAGAATAAGTGAAACTGTCACACTGACGAAGGCAAAGAGCCGAAACGTTTGTCAATATCTCCTGTCAAGAATATAAAAAATTTAGAGTGCAGACCTTTGCATTTTTTATTTGATATATAGGTCTCAGCACCTAATTAGCTGGGAGAGCGCGGTGAGCGTATTGATGGGACTTTATTTAATAATGAAATTTATTACTTTATAATCTCACCCTGCAGTTTCAACTCCACCAAATCTTTGTTTGTTTCATTGTTGTACAGTAAATGTCAATAGCTCTTGTTTTGATTTTTCATGTTTGTTGTAGGAAATTACCATCATTGTATAGTATTTCATTCTTATTGTTAATTTATGACTTCAGCTCCACTTACATTTCGGCAATTGCAGCTGTTTTGCAAAATGTCCCTTAGCGCCACCTGGCGGTCATTTCGCAAACGATTTTGAAATGCGACTGGTTTATTTTTTCCGCTATGGCTTTGCTGCAGCGGTAAACGCGGCAGTAATAGGCAATCTGGTTGACTACCAACTGTATTGTTTACTGTAGCTTTTGGAAGGATGTTCACCACCCCTTAGGAAAATGTACCTTGGTTTTGTGATCAATTACTGTTTGTATTACTATAGTTTTCAAATATCATGATTAAATGGTGTATAACATTGTATCTAAAATGTATA